TTATGTTAGTCTGTTTATGGGGAGAAGAGAGCCATACAGTTTGCTACAGGAAAGGAGATGATATATATCTGTTAATACAAAAACCTCAAAAATCCCCCTATAAAATATAAATTTGATGACTTTAAAACAGAAAATTATATATGTCAAAAATCTCTATTAAAAAAAATGAAAAGAAACGTGAGAAAAATATTAACAGCTGTGACAAAGGGCCCATTTTCCTTATATACAAAGGGTTATACAGATCGAAAAGAAAAAGGCAAACAACCTGATAAAAAAATGGGCAAAGCTCATAAAAAGATACAAGAGGAAATATAAATGATTACTGAACATAAAATATACTTCATCTCCTCATTAAATCCATAGAAGGTAAAAAGGTAGACAAAGATTCTTTAAAAATACCCAGTGTTGGCCCGTGTGGGGAAACAGTGGGGGTAGATGGACATTTTGAGTGTCCATAATATCTGAATTTCTTATAACCAGTATATATACTTAAGAGCAGCAATAAAAATAACACATCTTATTCATTTCAAACACACTTGCAGTTGTATGCTCTGACACATCAAATGGACCCTACTTCTTGCACATGTGGATTCCATCATCCTGGGCAAGCTGCCTCACCTCTCTGGGCCTGTTTCTGCATTTATAAAATGGGGGTAGCAATAGCTCAAATAAGTTAATACGAAATTAAATGAATAACATGGAAATGAATGGTTAACAGTAAATACTCCATGAGTAACAGCCACTCATCATTGTCATCAAGGATAAATAGTAATGTGTTACTGTACTTAAAGCTACTGTCACTGTGCCTAAACATGTAGGTTAATCATGATCAGAGTCAGAGGACGTGATAAAGCAGCTCATCACAGTTTGCTCTCAGAGGATAGTATACTTTTTTTGTAAAGAAAAGTGGGTTAGTAAAATGGAAAAGGAAGTATTCGGGCACTTTTCAGAGAATAGCCTTGAAGACAAGCTTCTAATGTGATCTTCTGGTAGGTAAGGTTAGAGTGATGTTTCTTTGCAATCCCAGTTCCTTAGCAACCTGGCAGCATCTCTGGCTTTCATTATGAACCCCATGCCTTTTCTCTGTCTCCCCTTCCTAATCTGAGTGCTTTCACCTTCTCTGACATACAGAAACACTGGGGAACTAAGTTTCTGACCTGTACGATCACTGTTCACACTGAAATGAGACTGCAATCTAGGTGTTCATACTCAAATTACTGCAAACATGGACATAGCTCTTTGTAGAAAACACGAAACTTGACAACGTGGATTCTTGTTTTGTGACCTGATCATTCGTCAAAGTATTATTCCATTTGACTCATTTATTTTAGGGCACACTTGTTCATTCCTGACTGTCAGATCATCCCTAGAGCAGGAAGGAGAGTGGGGAGTTCGGCACCAGCTGAGTAAGAATTGCTGTGGGTCTGTTTTTGTTTTACAGTTTTTTGGTGGTGCGCTCTTCACAGTAGCTTCCCCAATTCTAAAGCTAAGCATGATAGTTACCTTTTTTTTTTTTTAACCTGGATAATTAGTTGATGTGTGGTGGGCTTTTTTATTTTTATTTTTTTTTTTTTAAGATTTTTATTGGGGAATTGGGGGGATGGGAACAGTGCTGGGGAATTGGGGGAAGGGGAACAGACAAGTTGCTGTCGTTTTGTTCTTCAATCTAGTTGTGGAGGATGTTGCTTCACTGGTTCAAGTTGGCACCATCATTGCGCTCTTCTCTGGCGAGGCAGATCAGTCGCCGGCTTCTGGACGGCCGCTCACTGCGGCTGCTGGCCGCTCACGCTGGCTGCTGGCCACACACGGTAGCCCATGGCAATCCACTGCCACAGGGACTGCAGCCCACGCCGTCGCCGGCGACTCAGGGCAGCCCAGCTCCAGGTTGAGCTGTTGTTCAGCATCTTAGCTGTAGAGGGCAGTGTCACTGGCCCTCATATGTGGGATCCGAACCGGGGCCCTCTGGCATCCCAAGCGAATTCTTAACCATCGCGCCACTCGGCCGGCCCTGTGGTGGGCTTTTTTAAAATTAAACTTTTTATTTTGAGATAACTGTACATTCACATGTAGTTGCAGGAAAGAATAGAGAGATCCCATGTACCCTTTACCCAGTTTCCTCTCATGGAAACATCTTGCAAAATTGGTACAATATCACAAGCAGGATGTTGACGATGACAGAACTGAGCACCAGAACATTTCTGTCACCAGGAGGTTCCCTCTTGTTGTCCTTTTAGTGGAACCCATTTCCCTCCTGCTCCTCTCATGCCTCTGCTACTCATCTGTTCTCCATTTCTACAGTTTTGAAGAGTGTTCTATAAATGGAATCGAGCAGTGTGTAACCTTTGGGGATTGTTTTTCACTCAGCATGATTCACCCTCACTGTTGCAAGTGTCCATAGTTCATTTCTTCTTATGGCCAAGTAGCTTCTGTTGTGTGGGCATACTATACTGTATTCATTGATGGACACCTGGGTAGTTTCTCGTTTTTGACTATTAGAAATAAAACTGCTATGGCTATCCACACACAGGTTTTTATGTGAACATCCGTTTTCATTTCTCTGGGATAAATGTCCATGAGTGTAATTGCTGGGTAGTATGGTAGTTGCACATTTTGTTTTTTTAAGAAACTGCTAACTACTTTCCAGAGGGGCTACCCGATGTCACATTACCACCAACAATGTATGAGCAATTCTGTTTCTTAGCATCCTGGCCAGCATTTGGTGTTGTCATTATTTTTTATTTTGGCCATCTTGCTGGGTATATAGTGAAATTTCATTGTGGTTTTAATTTGCTTTCCGAATTACTAATGATGTTGAACGTCTTTTCATGCGTTTATTTGCCATCTGTACATCCTCTTCGGTGCTAGGCCTCTTCAAGTCTATCATCCATTTTCTAGTTCAGTGGGTTTTTTACTGTAGAGTTTTGAGAATTCTTTATATATTCTAAATACTAGTTCTTTATCAGAGGACTAGTTTGTAAAGGTTTTGAAATTTTTCCTCCTAGTCTTTAGCTTTGTCTTTTCATCCTCTTAACAGGGCCTTTCTTAGAACAAAAGTTTTTAATTTTAATAAAAGTCCAATTTATCAATTTCTCTTTTATGAATTGTTCTTGATGTCAAGTATAAAAACTCTAACCCTAGATCTCTAAGATCTTCTCCCATTTTTTTGTTTTTTTCCAAAAGCTATACTTTGGTGTCTTACATTTGAGTCTGTGATCCATTTTGAGTTATTTTTAGATAAGGTATGAGAGACTTAGGTCAAGGTTCTTTCTTTTTTCTTTGCCTATGGAAGTCCAGTGGATCCAGCACCATTTATTGAAAAGATTATTCTTCCTTCACGGAATTGGTTTTGTACCTTTTTTATTTATCAATTGTGCATATTTATGTGGGGCTACTTCTGCATTCTGTTCTGTTCCGTTGATCTGTGTGTTTATTCCTCTGCCGATAACACAGTCTTGAATACAGTAGCTTATGTGATACGTCTTGAAATCGAATACTCTGATTCCTTCCACATTCTTTTTAAAAATTGTTTTAGCAAAACAAAAATTATTTTAGCTATACTAGTTCCTTTGCCTTTACATATACATTTTTGAAAATTCTTGTCTATAGCTACAAAAAAAAATCTTACTTAGATTTTGTGAAGAATTGTATCAAACCTATATATCAATTTGGAAAAAAAATTGATAGTTTTACTATTTAAGTCTTCCTAACTGTAAATACAGTATGTCTTTCCATTTATTTAGATCTTCTTTAATTTCTTTTCATGAGCATTTTGTAGTTTTCAACGAACAAGTCCTATACATGTTTTGTGAGATTTACATGTATGTATTTCATTTTTTTGAGTGATAGCAAATGGTATATTTCTAATTTCAGGGACCACAAGTTCAAAGTTAGTATATAGAATTATAATTGATTTTTATATGTTTACTGTATGTTCTGTGGCATTGCCAAAATCATTTATTAGTTTTTTTGTACATTCCTTGGGATTTTGTAAGTAACATGTCATCTGCAAATAGGGACAGTTTTATTTTTTCTTTTCCTGTCTGTATGCCTTTTAGTTCCTTTCTTGCTTTATTGTACCAGCCAGAACTTCCAGTACTATGCTGAATAGTGAGAGCGGATGGACACCCATGTCTTGGACACAATCGTAGGGAGAAAGAATCATTTTAACCTTTAAGAATACTGTTAAGTATAATGCTAATCCATGTGGAGTGCACTTTTATAAATGCTGTTTGACTGTGGAAAGGAATAGTCTAGTGATTTGATGAACCACCTCCTCTAGAAGCAGCTCCTCTACTGTGTACAGGTGGATTCTGCCAAGCGATTTGCTAGGGTGACGCGTGAGGAATGAAAGCTTAGAATTTGGAGTCAGAACATTCAGATTTAAATACTGACTCTCCCAGTTTCTGGCTACATGGCCCGGGTGATGTTACTTACACCTCCTGAAGCCCATTTCCTCCCCCTGCAAGGAAGGAGGAAGAGCGCCCATCCTGCTTCCTCACCTGGGAGTGGAAGTGAGCAGGGGCATGTACCCGCGCCAGGGGCAGCGCTCGCCACACAGCAGGGGCTGCAAAGCTGCCCCAAACTTAGTATGATCTTCACCCTGGTCTGCTGTAGCCCACCCAACACCTTAATTTATTTATCTCTCTGGAGATTTGATCATTAAAATTGGCCTTTGGAATCCTAAACTAAAAGACTAAATGGTCTGGGAACAGTTGGTCTCTGGAAGGCAGACGATGTGAGTTCATTTCCTGACGCCTCCACTTACCATCTGTGTCAACTTGGGCAAATCCATCCACCCTGAACTCCCCGGCAGTGCCGTCCTCTGGGAGGTGGGAGCGATGACAGAACCTCTCAGGACTGCTGTGATGCCTGAGTGGATTTAGGGAACACTTTTAGCAGTGCCTGGCATGTTACCTGTGATCATTACTATTGGTGACTTTAAGGACACATACTTATTTGTGAATCATCTTTCTTAAAAAAAAAAATTGTTTGCTTTGCAGATTTTTTAAAAAATGGATTTGGCCAACCATGGACTTATTCTCCTGCAACAGTTAAACGCTCAGCGAGAGTTTGGTTTCCTGTGTGACTGCACGGTTGCCATCGGCGATGTGTACTTCAAGGCACACAAATCAGTTCTTGCTTCATTCTCCAATTACTTTAAGATGTTGTTTGTCCATCAGACCAGGTAACTAACGTGGTTATAATAATCTAATGACTGCAGACTGAACTTCCGCGGCCCTCGTTCCAGCTGAACCTGCTCTTCGCCCTCAGCAGGACCGTGGGTCTCGCTCCCTGTCCCTGGGCTCCCGGGGTCCCAGTCTCCCAGATCCCTCGTGACCTCACTTGCCCGCGGACCTCGAGCCCCACGCTGCCCCGCCCCCTCCAGACACCCTTGCCGGTGTCGCCTGCAGTCAGAACCCGCAGATCAGGTCCATTAGGAAGCCAGCTGCCACCTGACCTCATCAATCCCTTCCTCTCGCTGACCCAGCCGTCCCCTGAGTCTCCTTGGACTTCTAGTCCTTACCCGTGGCTTCTTCCCTAGTGAGAAGCCCAACGGCATGAAGTCCCCAGTTTTCTTCTTTCCTCCCTTAAAATGTCTCAATCTCAGTACCTTTACTCGGTTTTTTTCTTCCCATCACTCCTGTTTTGGAGGAAAGGGCCCCTCGGTGTCTAAGGAAAAGGCTTTTCCTCTCGCCCTCACGCCCCCAGATCCCATCCCCTCGTTTTTATTCTGTACTTTTCATTTTATAGCGTCAAGCCCCTGCCCGCAAGTCTGTGAAGGACCAGTGCTTCCTTCCTCGGCTGTCACCTGAGTTACGGTGCTGTGCTCCTTGATCTGACTGTGAAAGGTCTATGGCCTTGCTTGTACTTGCCTCATCCCACACCCTTCCGACCCGTGGGCGCTGTGGTTTCTGCCCCATCACTCTACTGAAATCGTTTCTCAAAGGTCACCTCTTCGTCAGAACCACTGCTCTTCTCTCAGGCTCTGTTGTCCTTGTCCTCTGCAGCATTTACTACTGTTTTCTTCTTCTTAAGGGTCGTCATCTGCATCTGATAGCTCTGAATATCGCTTGCTTTTCTGCCCTCTGTGAGTTTGGGTGAGTGTTGGTCTGGGGGCTGCTCGTGGTTTTCCTGGATCTTGCACCAGTTTACAGCTCTGACCTTGATCTTCCTCTGTTTCCCAAGGCCCCAGGCTGCCTGCCAGACATTCGGAGTTGTATTTTCTTCTTTTGCTCATTTAGCTTATCTCAAATTGAATTAAGTTTTGCCTGAAGTCCCTCCTGATGTCCCCATTTTGTTTATCTTCAAGAAACTTATACTTAAAACCGGGTCTTACCAGTCCCCAAGCCAGGTTTTTTCAAAATGCCTTTCATATTAGTCCTTCCCTTCCCCTTCGCACTTCCATTTCCTGACGGTTTCCACATTACTGTCAGATGAATGTTCCTAAGCGTTGCTTTGACCGTAGTATGTATGCCATCGATCAGAAACCTATTATTGATAGATTGTGTTACTCTTCCGATTGGAGAACTAGAGGGTACCCACTGCGTATCAAAATAGGGCACAGATTCCTTATTTGTCTTTGAAGCCCTGCAGCCTTGGAGCCTGACCTTCCAGCCCCATCTCCAACTGCACCTTCTTGGGACACCCCACCCCTTACCTGAACCACACTTTGCTGGTATTCTGCCCGCACCCTAAGCCCCAGTTCACGCATCACCTCTTCATGGCCCCTCAGCTAATCAAGTGAACCAAAATGATCAAAAGCGATCACTTCCTCTCTCACATTTCATAGCACTTAATTTACACCATTTTCTAAGATCTGTACGTTTTTCCCTTTGTTGTTGTTGTTTGTGTACTTACCGCTCCTGGTTTGTAAGATTCTTGAGGGCGGAGACTGGGTTTTGCAAATCCTTTTGAATTCCCCCGGTATTTGTACATAATAGCCACTTGATAAATGTCTGGAGGAGCAGCATGGCCAAGTAACAGGATTAATAGCAAGCAGAGGCTGCTTTATCTTATGACACTAAGATGCCCTCTTTTACTTCATTGTCAGAGACTTGACTTCATTTACTTCATTGTCCGAGACTTCATATCTACTGGGTACTTAGGAGTCCCAACACAATGAATTAAACTGTCTTGAAAAGGGGAAGTTTTTAATTTTGAGAAGTAAAAACTGCAATGTAATGAATTTTAAAGTAGATGCAAGAAACTTAAGTGCCAGGCAGTAAATAAATGCCTTTCCAACTAGGCAATGTGGTATCTGTGGAGACAAGAGTCCCAAGTTGAAGCAGTAGCGTGTTATGTATGGCACATGCCACTTGGGCGGCCACCCAGTGGCCTTACCCACCTCACTGGGACAAGGCAAATACTGAGCAAAGACCAGAGACAGGCTTTTAAACTAGTACTTTTCTTTGCAAAGCGTTCTCCGCTGCCGCCTGGCTACTGACAAGGTGGGCCGAGAAGAGTTTTTTCACACTTTGCTTAGAGAGCGTTTTATGTCTGTAGCTACCACTAGATGGCTCTGTCCTATGTCCGCTACTCTTAAGTGGTAGGTTTTCAGTCGTATAGGACTGCAGGCTTGCAGCTCTCAAAAAGTAAAACTACCCAGAAGGGCCTTGCTAAGTAGAGCCTCTGACAATGTCTAATACTATTTGAAAATCCTTATTTTCAGACTTCTTTAAGCCCATCTTTTACTTTAACAGCTTAGTAAAGGAAAAATTGAAATTGTAAATTACTGTGGAAGTTTATATAAAGGGCTTGTCGCTATGCTAAAACTATATTTTTCCTCCATAAAAGTATTATGCCAAACAGACAACTGCAAATAATCAAACTGCTTGGGTGTAATTATATTGTAGAGAGCTATGTTCTTCCTAGCGGACTTGGAAATGACTAAAGTGGCCCATAGCAAGCTGAGTGATTAAGAAAGGAAATCTAGATGCCTGGGAGTGATCATGGGTGGAGATGGCTGGAGTATGACATAAGAGACTTCTTAAAACAACTCTGAGTGTCTGTATGTGAATATGTGCTTCTGCTTTAAGAAAAAAATGAAAATGAAAAATCAAGATACATTGATGTCTGGACACCTCCCTGGGTGCTGGGCAATGGCAGTCAAGCCCGGGGACTCTGCCTTCCTCTCCCTGGTGGTGTCTGGGGGGGCGGGATGGGGGGGGGGTCTTGGAGTCCCCCCTCCAGGCCTGACTGAAGTGTGGATTGGGGCCCCCCCAGCCCCATCTCTTCTTTACCATCAAGACTGCACATAGTTCTTTAAAATTTGAGAGTCACCCCACTAGTGAGGGGGAATTATAAAACTTCGAACAGTTTTTATGGAAAGAGGCTCTGCTTGGTAGTTACCTCTCATTGATGCTGGAAAACAAGCCCCAGTTTCGGATTTCCGCCCTTCCCTTTTCTTTTCTGGGTGTGGAGAAGGGCTCCCTAACTTGCCTCTCCTGCTGCCTGGAGGAACATTCCATCCCCGCAGAACAAAAGGTGCCCTATCATCTCCTGGGGGTGATTTGCATCTCTAAAGGCCCACACTGTCCCCTTTCACTAGGCCTCTGCCTGGCCCAGGAAAGGTCCCCTCTGGTTCTGTCTTCACTTTGGGTTGATTGTTGATTCAAGTGTTCTTCACCACACATAATCCCCAAAGTTTTATTCTGAATATTGAATTCCCTAGAGCATCTAAATATATTCTAGTGTACACATAATATTGTGGGCACTCACCTTGTGCCTAATGAGAAGACCACCTATTCCTATTTAAAGAAATATAAACAACTTAAAAGACTATGAAAAGAGTCCAAATAAAGGTATGAATGATCTGCATGGCTTTTTAAAAAAAAAGAGTCACATAACTCTTTCCCTTTGTACTGTCAAAGGATGCTAGTTTTTATCCCTGATCGTTATTCTTTGGCTTCCATACTTTGTAGTCAAACATTTTTCACATGATCATTTGTATGCAGCCATCTCAAAATATACACACATTATTCAAATCTGCTCTGTCATAAATTTCTATTAAAGTCACGTTTTCAATTTTTAATAGAATAAAACATTACATTTAGAAGAGCTGAGTATACTGTTACTATCTTAGCATATTGGAAAATAATTTTTTAATAAGCTAAAACAGCTGAAGGAGCCAAAAAGATTATAATAGTAAGAAGTGGTATAATCAAAAATTATTATAAAATCTAAAGACGTTCAAGGAAGGTGTCTTTGAAGATGAAAAGGCATTGTCTACAGAATATATTTACCCTAGTGGATGATACTACATATGCCTCATAATATGTAAAGAGAAATCGCATTGATTTCTAACGATGCAGTAGAACTGTCGTTTACCGATGTGTCTAGGAAGAGCTCTTAGGGACGTCTTAACTATGGCTGTTTGAATCAGGATGCCTTTTCTGGAATGATGCAAACACCAAAGTCTAAAAATAGTTAGAAAATCAACAATGCCACAACTGCTTTAGGTGCCTCCGATAAGACACTTAACTTTTTGGGACCTCAGTTTCTATGTCTGTCAAATGGGAATAATCAAATCTGCCTCACCTACTACACGGGGTTGGTTTGATGCTCTAACGACTCTTAGTGTCATGGCTTTGGAATTAGGCCCAGATTTAAATGCCAGTCCCACCACTTACTGACGCTGTGATGTTGAGCAAGGTACAAATCCCTCTGGTCCTCAGTCCCTTATCTGTAAAATGAGACCAAATGGCAGTTAAATGAGGTAATGCTTAGAAAGCCCAGCTGCAGTTCTGATGATGATGATGTTACAGGACTAAAAGAATACGGACACTGGGTGTTAGCAGAGCCAAACACAAAACACCCAAGAATTGCAGTGGAAAATATTGGCTATTTTATTGATCAGTGGTACCATCCATGAAAACAGGAAGCTAATGCTCAAAAGCCCAAACTCCACGATGGTGTGTAGGTTACAGATTCTACAGGGCAAAATCACAAGACACTGTGGGTTAGGGATTGGGAGCCATGCTGGGAGCTGATTGGTCGGAGGTGATATAAGAGTAATGAAACATTACTTCAGGTCTTGAGGGCAGCTCAGGTTTTTTCCAGAGTCCCTCTGTCTGTTCTCATGGGAAAGTAGCCAGGGGGTCGTTCCACCTTAGGGCTCAGGAGCTGAAACATAACTTAGGTCAAGATGTAATCTTTAGCCTGCCAGGGGTCCTGACCCTGTGACCATTAGTCAGGTCCGGGCTTCTCCCTTCTGCCTCCAGGGTTGCTGCTGATTATCCAGGGGAAAAGGCTAGGTCTCTGAGGGGTGTGTATAGAGAGAGGATGCGATTTCTAGAGCTGGGATTTAAAAGTAAATTGAATCAAAATCTTAAGGACCCTCGGTTCCAATGATGGTGATGATGACATTTGATAAGGAACTGAGTTGCCCGAAACCACTTTTAATGCAATCTGGCAATGCTGGGAAGGTGATCTGACGCCACAGGAGCTAGGCTGTTGCTTGTGTTCCCTGTTCCCATCTCTTCATGCTGGACATGGATCACAGAGCTGCAGAGAACCGACAGGGTTAGGCTTTCTTTTTCATTATTTTTGTTGTCTTGCTCTTAGGCACTTGCTCATACCAATCTAGCTCCCCATGTCATTTTACAGATTAATCTACTAATTAGGTAGATGGTTTGACTTACCGTAAATTGTCTGCTGCGCTCTGGATGGCATTGGGTCAATACAGAATCCTAGACCTTTAGCCAAAAGATCTGCCAAGTCAGTGGTTCTTGACCATTCAGACTGATAGAAAGCAATGGGTCCTCTCCATAAAACACACATTTGATATAATTTTACATAAATTACTAGGAGAAAAACTGCTTCAAGAGTCTTTAAGATACCACATTTGTTTAGCATGAACTTTTCCTTTCTCGGTCCTTTAAAATATACTTTATTTCTCTCTGCTTTTAATATAATTAAAGTTAAATTATATAGGTTCCAGTTATCTTCTGATGTTTCCAATCCATTTTGTGAAACGCTAACAGTCAGAAATGGGAAATGCCCTTGTTTCACTCGCCTTTAAAAGTGCTTGTGTTTTAATTCAGGCTTGATGTGCTCATCTGAGACATGGATGGACATTGACTGATAGACTTTCTACGTGTTTCTTTCAGTGAATGTGTCCGTTTGAAACCATCTGACATCCAGCCGGATATTTTCAGCTATCTCTTACATTTGATGTACACCGGAAAGATGGCGCCGCAGCTGATTGACCCTGTTCGATTAGAGCAGGGGATCAAGTTTCTACACGCGTACCCTCTGATCCAGGAAGCCAGCCTGGCCAGCCAAGGAGCCTTTTCTCACCCTGACCAAGTTTTCCCACTGGCTTCGTCCTTGTATGGCATTCAGATCGCAGACCATCAGTTGAGACAAGCCACCAAGATCGCTTCAGCGCCTGAAAAGCTTGGGCGAGAACCGCGGCCCCAGCCCTCCAGGATGGGCCAGGAGCAGGTGCCAGAAGCCGCACAGCTCTCTCAGCTGACTTCAAATGTGACCCAGGTGAATCGGACCCACATGACTCCCTCGGACCCACTGCAGACCTCCCTGTCTCCAGAACTCGTTTCCACTCCTGTTCCTCCCCCTCCTCCCGGGGAGGAGACCAATCTGGAAGCCTCGTCCTCGGACGAGCAGCCCACGCCCCTCACCATCGCCCATGTCAAGCCGAGCATCATGAAGAGGAACGGCAGCTTCCCAAAGTACTACGCCTGCCACCTGTGCGGGCGGCGCTTCACCCTCCGGAGCAGCCTGCGGGAACACCTGCAGATTCACACGGGCGTCCCTTTCACAGCCAGCCAACCCGGAGAAGCCCGCGTTCCTTTGTCGCTTTGTAGCAACGCAGCTGACCTAGGAAAAGACGCCATGGAAGTGCCTGAGGCTGGGATGATCAGTGACAGTGAGCTGCAGCACATCTCAGATTCTCCAATCATCGATGGGCAGCAGCACTCGGAGACGCCGCCGCCCTCAGACATCGCCGACATTGACAACTTGGAGCAGGCGGACCAAGAGAGGGAGGTAAAGAGGCGGAAGTATGAGTGCACGATATGTGGACGCAAATTTATCCAGAAGAGCCACTGGAGGGAGCACATGTACATACACACCGGGAAGCCTTTCAAATGCAGCACTTGTGACAAGAGTTTTTGCAGGGCCAACCAGGCTGCCCGGCACGTGTGCCTCAACCAGAGCATTGACACATACACCATGGTGGACAAACAGACACTGGAACTCTGCACATTCGAGGAAGGGAGTCAGATGGACAACATGTTGGTACAAACCAACAAACCCTACAAATGCAACTTGTGTGACAAAACGTTCTCCACTCCCAATGAGGTTGTTAAACACTCATGCCAAAACCAGAACTCAGACGTCTTTGCCCTCGATGAAGGGCGGTCCATTCTTCTCGGCAGTGGGGACTCAGAAGTAACGGAACCTGACCATCCCGTGTTAGCGTCCATCAAAAAGGAACAGGAAACAGTGTTGTTAGACTGAATGTTACTTATCTTTTAAAACTGTCATTTTTACAAGGACTACCTTCCTTTCCTTCCCCCAATTCAGAACTATAGTTCTCCATGGCATGATACAAACAGGGTCCCCGGTCCTTTTCTCCCCTCTCCCATCCCTGCCGTCCCGAGCCCTTCCTCCATAAAGGCTTTGTGCATTATAAACCTGGAACATATTTACTTTAATTCAGGGGATATTGGAAAGATAATGGTCAGTAGTACTTATAAACTCAAATAGATTTTGAGTTTTTGATTATTTAAAAGCATACTTGGAACTAATGAAGGGTTTATAACAAAACAACTACAATGCAATTTGGTAAGCTAAAATTATGACTTTCCCTGAGTAATGTCTTCCTTCTCAGAAAAACAATGTCAGAAAATACAGCATGCTTCTTAGAGACATACAGCTGGGCTCTGTACTATGCAAAATCTAGGTGTGGGGGAGCTTTCAATCCAAGAGAACATTCTTAGTATTCTCCAGGTGTCTTATTTCAGAATGCATCCTTTGAGATTATGTCCAGTCAAGAAAAATCATTAAGAAATCTACTTGAACAAAACACAAAAGAGAAAAAGTAATAATGTGATGGCAATCTTAATTTTTGGATAAAACATGACAAGCTATGAATTTGTGTGTTTGTAAGAAAAAAAAATGTGTGGATACTTGCTACAAACAGGTGAAGTAATGCACATGCCTTATCTAATTGCTAGCCTCTTTCAAAGTTGAACGACAAGAAAATACTGTATTTTTGTTTCTGACAAATGCATTGGTTTTAAAAATCAGATTTGAAAGCACTATTTTTAGACGGTCTTTCTGAATGGAATTGATATGCCATTCTAGCAGTTGCCAGTGGTAGATTTGTTTTGGCACCAACCTACTGCTTTTAAATCATTGTGTTTACTGTAGGAAAAAGGATACAGGAGTATGCATCTTATGGGGGAAGTTGTGAGCTGAACATGTAGTAACTTTAAGGACTTTAAAAATTCCCAATAGTTTACTGGCAACATTCACGGAAGCATCAAAAATGGCAAAGAAAAATCAGGACAGAAAACCCAGTTGCTATTTGGGGAAAAAACTTGATTCTGATATTTCGTCTTCATTTTTTTTCCCCTAAAACCTGAAATTACCTCTGTTGGCCTGAAAGAAGTAAAATGTATCCATTAGTCTTCCCTTAGGCCAATAACAGAATGGTCTCACAGGACAAAACAAGCCAGAAATAAGGACCGAAGGGGAGAGGGAGGAACAGTTCATAGCTGTGCTGTACGTATTGTTAAAACTGACCGTCCTGCCATCCTGTTTCATGTATAGTTGAGTTCTCAGATTTGTAAGTTTTTATACATACTTTCATTGAATAAAGTTTAATTAAATGAGAATATGATTATGTCTGTGTAATTGTCTCCCCAAAAAGATGTAAGGAGGGGAAGGCGAGAGCATTGCAGGAGGAGTTGTTTTCTTGCCATGTCCCCTGCTTGTGTCTGCAGAACGCTGGGCAGTTCCCCTGACTTGAATGGCATTCTCCATATTTATAAAATGAAGGCATTGATAACTGCATTGGGTCATAAGACTGTGAGATTCAAATGAGTAAACTATATATGAAGATGCTGTGAACAGCCAGTTTGACCAGGAATGGGTCTGGACATCATCTTTCTCAACTTTCTTTTATAAGAAACAGGCCAAGGAGTGTTTGCCTAAAGATGACACGAATCCATGCTATATAAACCTAGGTTGTTAAATGTTCAGTGGCTTCCACTGATTTCTCTTTTTTAAAAAAACTATATTCACATCTCCCAACTAAAATGAGAATCTTGTTCCAAGTTAAATTCTCTGAGTATCTGTGAAAGGGGAAATGTGGGCATGGCTCCACAGCCCTCCTCACCACCCCAGGCAGGCTTGTAGGCACGCGGCATGCAGTCAAAAAGCAGTCTTGACCAGAAAGTCATGGGGATCTGGTGGGTGAGGAAAAAGGGGTGAGGGCAAGATGCCAGCCAACCCCAGTTCAGCTCCAACAACTTGGTGGAGGGGAAGGACAGGCGTTGTGTTCAGTTACTCATTACCTCTGGGGTGCAGAGGCTCTTAGCACCAGCTTATGGCCACCTCCACCACTGGGACAGACCTGCGCAAAACAGAGAGCTGGGGTGCAGACAAGGAAGCCCACCCTCCCTACCCTGGAATGCTCCGTGGCTATTTAATCGCAAGAGGTTATGCATTTAACAACTTATTCTGAGTTTCTGATGGTATCAATTTTAATGAGCTTTGGAAATTTCAGTTGATAGTATCAGCAATCTGAATACCTAAGCTTCAAAATTCATTTGCGCTGTCATTCTCCTTGGACTGGCCCTTATTAATGCCACTGGTTCTATTACTTTTGCTTTCATAGAGGAAACAATAATAAGTGACTCATTCAAAAAATGTTGCTAAAAAATAGATTTTGTAAAGGACTGTAGGATTTTACTTTATTTTTTAAGATTTTATTGGGGAGTTGGGAGAGGGGAACAGCGTTGGGGACTCGGAGAAGGGGAATAGACAAGTTGCTGTCCTTTTGTTCTTCAGTCTAGTTGTGGAGAATGTCGCTTCACTGGCCCATGTTGGTATTGTGATCATTGTGCTCTTCCCAGGTGAGGAAGTCGCTTGCCGGCCATTGGACAGCCGCTCACGGTAGCTTACAGCCCCACTGCAGCCTACGCCATCGTCGTTGGCGACTCACGGCAGCCCAGCTCCAGGTCGAGCTGTTGTTCACCATCTTAGCTGTAGAGGGCAGTGTCACTGGACCCCATGTGGGATCTGAACCGGGGTCCTGCTGCTCAGAGCTGGCGTCCCAAGGGGCTGCAGCCCCTGCTGCAGTGGGCTGCCATAAGCTACCATATGTGGCTGGCAGCCAGCGTGAGCGGCTGGCAGCTGGTGTGAGCTGCCAAGAGCCGCCGTGAGCGGCCGTCCAGAGGCCGGTGACCGATCTGCCGCACCCGGGAAGAGCACAATGATAATACCAACATGGGCCAGTGAAGCAACGTCCTCCACAACTAGACTGAAGAACAAAACGACAGCAACTTGTCTGTT